CATTCCATAAAAATCTGTACAAAAAGCCGTAAAAATACGTCTCTAGATGTATTTAAAGTAAATTTAGTGTTTTCCTTTATCATACTGATAATTTTCTCACGGTAAATGTTCATTTTCACCAAAAGCTTGCAAAAAAAATCGTAAGGAATCTTGTAAATTGTAGATTCTGAAACTTATAGATGCTGTGAAGTGTTATATATTTTCGTGTAAAATACGGTTGTCGCTTTTTCTTATTTTTTCTACGCTATGATGATTCTTTTGATATTTACACGTATACTAGTTCAGTGATAATGGACGTCATACTAAACTCCAAATTATACACAGGAAACTAAAATTAAAAATGATACAAGACTAACAAAGGCCAGAGGCTCCTGACTTGGGACAGGCGCAAAAATGCGGCGGGGTTAAACATGTTTTTTGAGATCTCAACCCTCCCCCTATACCTCTAGCCAATGTAGAAAAAACAAACGCACAACAGTACGTACAGTAAAACTCAGTATAAGAGAAGTCCGATGTCAGAATAGGAAACAAAAGAAAATAAACAAAATGACAATAATACATAAATAACAACAGACTACTAGCAGTTACTGACATGCCAGCTCCAGACCTCAATTAAACTGATTAAAAGATTGTCTTCATCATATGAATATCAGGCACAATCCCTCCTGTTAGAGGTTTTGTATTATATCGTCGTTAGGGGTTTAGTATTATACCGTTGTTATCTCTATTTTTATTTTAAATGCTGATGTAAGATAGCACATTTAACTAACCAATAGAATTAAAGTTCAAAACTAATTTCAACTTTTTAATTTTTTTAAATTTTATTTGTAAATATATCCAGTTCTTACTAAACTTTCTTCTGGGACTATCATACTATACTATTAGTATGATAGTCCCAGCTTTCTTACACCTCAGCACATGTTTTTTTTATAATATAACTATTATGACTATTATGATTAATGATTAATTTTATCAGAGACTAATATCACACATTGTGTTATCAAAAAATAACGGATTTTGGGAAAGGGAAGGGGGGGGGGGGGCTAAAAAAAATGTCCTCTTCCCAAGTACCTCAGTACGCCCAAGGATTTGTCTTCCTATACACAGGGGCTGGTCCAGGTGAGGGCTTAATGGGCGTACGCCCCCCCCCCCCCTTTCCAAAAAAATAAAATAAAAAAACTATCGTAATCTGCTAATATTGTATTGAATATGGCAATTTATCATTATTTTATGTTTTTTAGCAAAAAAAGGTCGAAAATTTTTTTCGCCTCGATCCCTCGGCGGAAGATTTGATTCTACGCCCCTCTTTCAAATATCCTAGAAACGCCCCTGATACATGCTATACAAATCCTTGCTATGCCCAAAATGAGAAGAATAATTCCAACAGACAGTATACTATGTCATTGCTGTTTTCATTTTTAAACCTGTAATAATTGACAAACTATAAGCAAGTGTCAAAATTTCTCTATCTGAATTTTCCATTAACCAAACTGATAAAAACAGATTTCAAATGATTTGTTAACAGAGTCATTTTTTTTAAGTATTAGTGTTTTTACCAGTTTTTACTAATTATTTTGCCAAAAAAGGGATAACTAACATTAATCAAAGCTTTTCATATTAACAGAAAATGCATCTCGAGAGCCGTAACTACCATTGAAGCAATTGACCAACTAAATTTCGACACTGAAATATTTTTTTTTTTGTGTATATCTTTAAGGTAATTAAATACGAAATATAGTCATTTGTTTTTTGTTTGTTTTTTTTTTTTTTTCTGTCTCAAGTTACCCTTAATTTCTATAACTTGACATCGTTCCTCTTAAATTATTCTTCCCGGATATAACTCAGCAAGTTTTTCGATTACATTAACCTAGTACCGAGCGGTCCTGTCTGAGTATTGAATTTCATTCTCTATTCGTTCGCTTTACAGATAACCTAAATATAAATAACACGAAACCTGCATGGATTAGTTTTAATCCATGTTTCTTTTAACTTAAAATTTTAAAGAACATCCCGTAATCCAATTTTGAAATTATTGAGGGACGGTAGGACCTTAAAACATGATTTCGTGTTTTTCTAATTCGGGACTATACGGGATCATGCTTCGTGTTCGTTTTAATTCGGGATTTAGGGACCCCCTCCTACCCCTTCATTATTCGATTGTCGATCTAAAATATCTTATCCCTGACTATTTCCAGAAATAATCTGAAATCACGGACCTACATGTAAACGGCGAAAACTCCAGTCCACTTCCCTGTATCTAAAAAAAACAAACAAACAAACTAAAAAAAATTAAAATTCAATATTCCTAGAATAACATAAAATGATATAGTTATATTCAATTTCCCGTACCCATAACATTAAAAGGTAGCATGTAGCAAAAAGAAAAACTAAAACTAATATTCATAAAATAACATTAAAATGAGAAAGGGGGTACCCCATATCTTTGTGAATTCAGATGACAAAGATATGATTACTAGTATCAGATATTCCTGAAGGTGAAATGGCAAAGTAGATCCCGATATACCCTGTTCAAGGTCCTTTGTCAAGGCTTATTTAAAGCTGAAAACTGATATTTAGCTCCGTCCGCAATGAAACGGTTTGAAATCAATCCGTGACATCTTCAATCTATGCAATGATGTCAAGCTCTCTGGAAATGTCCAGAATGCAGGATTTTACATTATTTATCCCAGACCCCCTGCCGAAATTTTTCGCCTCGCTTTGATCAGTTCTATAGTTTTTTTGCCTCGCTCCCCTCGGCGATCAGTTCTGCTTTACTTAAATAAGATGCCTAGTTACATTCTTGATCTCATCTTCTATTTCCTCATCACAGAGTTTGCATATTATATTTTCTAGTTTTATATTGACATGATTAAAGTAACGATCTTTTTCTAATTCAAGTTTATGAGCTCTAATTCTAAATCTTGTTTTTTAAACACATCTTTGAAGATAAAAAGTATGGTAATTTCAATAAGCATGGCTCAAAATAAAAGTTTGGTTTGAATAATCGATCAGGTATAAGCCGGTTTATTTCCAGATGTCTTATTTTGTCTTTTATTATTAAATAACTCTTTATTCCTCATGCGACAATATTTGAATATTAATTCTTTTTCACCATATATTTCATGTTTGTTTTAGATGAGAGTCGTTGATGCTCTTGTAAATCAAGGAATTTCAGGATATCACGAGTTCAATCACCATGATCACCCCTGACAACACCATGGCCACAATAAAAAAGACGGAATGTTTTGCAGTGGCGGAACCAGAACCTTTCATAAGGGGGGGGAGGGGGCGCTGACTGACCTAAAAAGGGGGGGGCGCTGACTGACCTAAAAGGGGGGGCGCTCCAGTCATGCTTCAGTGATTCCCTATATAATCAACCAAATTTTTCCCATGAAAAGGGGGGGGGGCGGCCCTCCAGCCCCCCCCCCCCCCCCCCCTTGGATCCGCCTATGTTTTGATATTTTTATAGTTTCTATGAGGACTGCCAGATTTAATTCATATCATTTTTATTTCTCTTATCTTTGGTAATAAAATGATAGATGACAATGAAGCAAACGGTGCATCTTCAGTACCGTGACTTTTTTTTTCAAAAGTTTTACATGGTAGTAAGAATAAAAAAATGTGTTGGGCTTCTGATTGGTTGGTATGCTTTTAATTTATTAATTGGATAAACCATTTATGTGCTAAAATAATTACAATTTGGAATTATTTAATTCTCTGTGAAATTGAATTTTTTTGGAAAAATGCATTTTTCTCAGTCTGTAGATATAAGAAGATGTGGTATGAGTGCCAATTAATGAGACAACTCTCCATCCAAGTCACAATTTGTAAAAGTAAACCATTATAGGTCAAAAGTACGGCCTTTAACACGGAGCCTTGGATCACACCGAACAGCAAGCTATAAAGGGCCCCAAAAATGACTAGTGTAAAACCATTCAAACAGGAAAACTAACGGTCTAATCTAAATAAAAAACGAGAAACGAGAAACACGTATGAACCACATCAACGACAACCACTGAACATCAGGTATACGTTTTTGTTTAGGGGCAGCAAAAGCCCGGCTCCGTGTGCGGGATTTTCTCGCTGTGTTGAAGACTTGCTGGTGGCCTTGAGCTGTTTCTGCTCTTTTCTTTCTTTCCCCGTTTCCATTCTCAATTTTATTGTAAATAATGCCCCCTCCCTCCCCAATAATTGCGCAATTGTAATCTATAAGGCAACACAGGACCATATGATTTACCACTCCAGCACGATATCATGGATTTAAACTTATTTAAACTTGAGCATCGTCTGAATTCCTCGGGGAAAGAGTTGCAGAGAAATGGAGCAGCATACATAAAAGATCGTTGTAAAGCGCGTACCTTGTTCTTCTCACTTGTGGTATCGGCTGGTAAACATTTATTTAATAATTAAATGTTAAGAGGTAACCTGATGAATAAGTCCTAGATGGGTTTTTCTCATTGCTTAAAATCTGGTAAAATCTTAAAACTGTTATTTAAAATCTGGGAACAGTATATCAATATATATGTTCCTGTTTAAAATAAAACATCTTTTTAAATTTTTTTTTTTTTCATCCTCGATAATGTCGTGTCCATAATTTCCACCGTGCTGAGCACTACTGCTATTTTTACAAGAGATGCAAGCGGAACACATGAAACTCGCCCCATTCGAAAATCCCCCCACACCAAATCGCCGCTTTTTTCTCCAACTCGCCCCACTGTGGTTTACCAAATCGCCCCACGTATGAAAAAAAGATTTAAAAAAAATAAAGGCACTGGGCGGCTACGGTTACATTGAAATGTAACAATAATAAAAAAGTTACTGTTACATTGGAGACTAATTGCGGGAATGCAGGGTTGGGAAAGGAACTGATTAATCACGAATGTAACAATAATATTTGTGTCTACAGTTACATTGTGTTATTGTTTTTTATATGATGGCGAGTTGGTAAACAAGAGCGGGGCGAGTAGGTGGAAATGTGGGTCGATTTGGTATGGGTTCCATGCAAGCGTTACATTGACATTGAATTTTAAGAACGAGGCTGGATAAATTTTGACGAGAAGGAACATGCAAGAAACAAAATAGGATCAATTTTATATACTTTACATACATAGGTCGAAACTAAAGCGACAAAATGAGTTACTCTCGCCCTCCACCAAACACAGAACGTATGTCATCTCTTAAAGTTGACAATCTCACATTCAGAACAACACCAGAGGATCTGAGACGCGCCTTTGAGAAGTACGGCGAGGTTGGCGACATTTATATTCCCAGAGATCGTTTCACTCGGAAAAGCAGAGGTTTTGCATTTGTCAGGTTGGTTTCTTTGACTTGTCCAGGTAATTGTCAATGGTTATCTTGGCAACAATCCCTATACTGCCCATTACTGGCTATACGGGACCTTAATTTAAAGTTTAATATGAGGGTAGGAATGGGTTCCCCACATGACAAATGACCGTAAAATATTTGTTAAACGTAAACGTTTTACTCCATTTGATCCTGAAGAAAAAATGAGATTTGACAAATGACTTCAAACACTTGAGGCCCATTTGACAGTTTACGGTAGCGAAAAATAGACGTTTGACGCTTGAGGATAAAGGGCATTTCTACCCTCTAATATTCAGGTTGTGAACTACTGTACATGCGTTTACTGTAGTCTCAATAATAATGTATTCTAGTCACTACAGCTCTAGTTCAAATATTTATGACGTCTTGAAAGGGGTAATTATTTGGACCTAACATCACTACTCAGCACATGGTCAAATCAGCACAATAAATACTGGACAGAGCAACAGACATCACCAACACTTAAACAAAAATACACTAAAAAGAGTGAACAATAAGCAACACATACTGACATACTACATAGCCTAGTTACATTTGTAGCTTTATCTGGGACATAAGTAAACATTAGTATCTATGTTGATGGTTTTCTGAAATATATTGACAGGACTCAATGCAACAATCATATCAATTACCTTGCCGAGTCAGTTCTAATTACAGATATGGTAAGGAAACGGAGTTGTGTCAACTTGCGTATATGAACTTGCTTTTATTGATGATACTATACGGCCCTACAATACAGAGATGCAAACAGTTTTGTTTTTTCTGTCAGACATTCTGATTGGGGCCTACAGGGTAGCAAGTTTTGCCAGACTTATATTTTCACTCAAAAATAAAATGAGACTCTTGAATGATTAATTTTTATTTTCTTATATATTATTGTAATCTGTGATTCATATTCATAAACATTGTAGTTTATTCAATATATTAATACATAAATGATGATCTAAGGGTTATTCCTCACAGGAGTACATTTTGTACTTTGACACAACTTGTGACAAGATAATCTATTTGTTCTTATGCCAATAAGAACAATTAGATCAAAAACAAAAACAGTGGCAAGCTACATGTACATTTGTACATCAAAACGAATATATGTGTTCATACATTAACTAAAATAAAGAAAAAATACACTCTTAGAAAACTAAAATAATAGTTGTTTTTGTTTGATTTTATAATTTACTTAAATCTGGTCATTACGACATTAGTTGTCCCTTAATAGAACTTTTGGTTTTCAGTGCTTTTCAACTACATAATTGATTTGACCATCTATTGTTCCAACTGTTCATGCACCACTGATGTGTCATATGCTATGGAGTCAAACTCGTTTTTTCATACTAAAAATGTTCTCGTTAAGGCGACGTATTTAAAGTAACATGTCATCTGGTCATGATCATGTAAATGTAGAACACAGCTGCTGGTTGAATCACTTGGTTGTTGAAAAAAAAACACAAAAAATTTGAACTGATTTGATTGAATACTCCAAAAAATCAAACATAGTTCAGTCCTAATAATTTTCATGAAGTCTCATCATGCTCATCTCAAAATTAAATTGAAATTGACAGACAGTATTTGTTAGGTGTCAGACCATTAGTTGATAATACATGTAAGTATTGATGGGAATAGGAAGACATTTCATAATTGATTTATATGATTCATTGCTTATTCACAATCAACTATCGAGCGATTCAGAACAATGTGAAAACTCTTTTGAACATTGTTTATAGATCAAGACTAATTTATTGCTGATTATGAACTGTTCGGCAAGATGTAAATTTCTCACAATTACAGGAATAACGACGCGATGAAATTTTATATATCTCAGGTACTATGATAAAAGAGATGCGGAGGACGCACTTGATTCAATGGACAGAGCCATGTTAGATGGCAGGGAACTCCGTGTACAGATGGCAAGATACGGAAGACCTTCAAATGACCGTAGAGGTGGAAGAAGGGGAGGTGGAGGTTATGGTGGGGGTGGTGGTGGCAGAGATGGAGGAGGAGGTAGATATGGAGGTGGAGACCGTGGTGGTAGCAGTAGGGACAGGGATAGTAGGCGGAGATCTTACAGGTAAACACAATTATAAATCATTCTACAGTTACAAAGATAAAAATGGAAAATCAGTAATAGTTGTAAATTTGTCGTAGCCTTCGATCCTGGTTCATTATTTTATAGTAAGTCATGGAGGATTATGATTACAATGAGTGCATGGTATAATGGCTTCATTTTTAGGAGAGAAAACATTTTGTCATCATATAGTTTGCTTTTCATTATAATTTATAAATCGTGCCAATTGTATAACCAGGAATGAAATTGAACAATTTGTAAGCACTGACTTAAAATTAAATAATTTAGATAGGCCAAGTGCTCAATTACATTTGTTAACTTTAAGAATAACAAGTTATCCTTTTGGTACACAGAAAATATTTTACTAATTTGTCAATTGATTGCTATCTCATTGACATAAAATGTACATGTATGCAACATATCCTTTTCTTCAGATTTATTTTTTTGACAGTGTTTCATGTACATGTAGGACCCTGTCATATAATTTCTGTTGACTTTTAACTTCTGAATGTACATTCACCATGGACACCAGAATTCACTTAAAGATCAGACACAATTATATTTTCAAAATAAAAAAATACCTGCTTTAACAGACTTTACTTGCTTTAGAGGCAGTGTATGAACTTGGATCCCAGGCAACATATATATCTGATTTCTCACATTTGGCAGACAAATTAAGAAAATATTAATGTTTTGTAGCTTGGTAGAACATGTAGAAGTAGCTTAAAAAAATGTTTTTTTTTTTGTTTGATCCAGTTTTGCTTTATGTGTGTATCTAAAAAAAAATTAAATATATTTTGTTATCAGGATATTGTTGATATTGTACATCAGTTAAGGGTTAACTAATTTAGATTTGAGACAATCACAGGAAGGCATTATGATATTACTGGTGTTCTTGGCTGGCATTTCAGTTCAGTTTTGTTACATGTGCAGAATTGTCTATTGTACTGTGAATTCATTATTTAATATTATTCGTGGGATACCAATTTTTGTAGAATTACAGGGTATAGGAAAACCATGAATTTAAATGTTCAAGGACGCACATATTTTCTATAAGCTTGTTTGCAGACTTTGGCAGAACTGCAAAATCAAATTTCCAGAAAATACACATTTGCTTCGCTCCACTAAAGCTGGTACCCATGATAATAACTCACTGTATATTGACTTGTTAAATCTGTTGCAGCCAATGATTTATTTAACACCAAAGATTTAAATGAGGTTTAACATTAATTGAAGTTTGTGCAACCAAGCCTAGAATTATAAATATTTCAGCAGGATTCCTTCTGAAGGATCAGCCAAGAGTGATCTTCAATCGAACTCTTTTTTTGTGTATCTTATTTTTGTTTGTATATATGTACAAATGTATTATGAATTTCCATCGCAAGAAATTGGGCATTTGTCTTGTCCATGTTTTTTTCTAAAAGATCAAAGTCATTTGAAAGTAATTGAGTTCTGTTGCTTGTGAGGAACTAGTATTAATTACTGTAAATTCAGAAATTATTGCGATGTATTTATTATTGCGAAAAATGCGACAGGGTTATAATCGCAATAATTTGGACTTGCATTTTTAAATTTTTTATATGAATTAAACAGAATTTTTCTCAATATCGCAAAAATTAAAATCACATTTTAGTCTAAAATGACAAAATCGCAATAATAAATGCACGCAATGATTTCTTAATTTACCAGTCTACCAGTTGATGCACACAAAGTGTATAACAGTACATGAAGAAAAATTAAAAAATAAACCTGAAAATACTTTGACCTTTTGAAAATAACATGAAAGTGAATAGATTGTCTAAATAACAGTGAGTCCTGAATGCAAGGCATATTCATATTTTTATTCAAATACTGTGTATTTATTATTAATCATGGAAAACTAATATTTGTGGATTTTGTGTGTTTAAGTTAACCACAAATTCAAGTGTTTAAAGAAATACAAATTTCCTTTTTAGTTGTACATGTATGTATAATGTTAAAACCTCTAATTACAGTACAATGTACATTGCATGTAGTACAGACACATTTATCTAAGAAAATGTAATTTTTCCTAAATCCATGAAATTAGTATTCATGAAAATATATAAATCCATAGTGAAATTTGAATTAAATCATTTGTTATGACATATCAAAATTCTATTTCATTTGCATACATGTTCATGTATTGACTATATAAAGCTACAAATACGATACACATCTGTTAATTTTAACGGACAAATAAATATATTTAAGTCTAATCAGCTCTATATATAGTATATATTTAATATCCAATTTCTACGTACCAACTAAAAAGCTTTACTTTCTTTTTGGACCCAGGGAAAGGGACCTGATATGAGTTTAAAAGGATCATAGATTCCTGTACTAGATAATGTAATCCTGGGGTAACATGCACAGTGCAGTCTACAAGCTCCTGTTGCAGTAGAATGCATATTGTGCAGTTAAGTTACACGAGCACCTGCTGCATGTGAAAGGCAAGGCAATCTTGCAGTCAAGTAACACGAGAACGTCGAGTTGTTATAGCTTGTATTGTAAAAGAGTAGCTGTTCCCAGATTTTTAGCTTCGAGGTTGTAAAATTAAGGAACCCGGTGTAGATTGTGGCAGGGAAATAATGGCCGACAAATTTAGTTTTAGAACAAGCGTTTATAAGGGGTAAGAGGTAAGATTGGAACAAAACTTTAATGAAAGCTCAAAAAGGTTACTGCTACCTAATTATGAATTATAATTAATGTTTATTCCCAAATAATGTCTGTGTTTAACACATGTAATAAATTGTTTATCATATATATATATATATATATATCATATTACATTTTATCAGAAAACTTGTTATTAAACTTAATTCTTTTTATTTATTTTTATTTTATTTTATTTTTTTAAAACTCAATCAACGGTTTAATCCACACACCTTTTCAGAAATAAAAAAAAAACAATTGTTATAAATTCAAGATTTTTTTCCCAGTACCAAGTACTGTGTTTTTTTAATCACTAATCTGATTTTATTTTATTTAAATTTCACAGGAAAAACATCAGATGTTTATCGAAAACTTTATATACTTATTTATTTCTTTCTTTTTAATCAACAGGTCCAGATCTAGAAGTAGGAGTAGATCACGATCAAGGAGTCGATCTGACAGTTCCAGAAGTCGTAGCAAGAGTAGGTCTCGTTCCAGGTCAAGGTCATAAACCAGATGATAAATAAGACTTCATAGCTTTGTGTTTCATTATCATGTATAAATAATGGCTTTATAGGAGCAAACATGTTAGCAAGGGGGGGTGTGGTTAGGTCTTTGGCTATTTAAATTTTGTATAGTATGGATGGAGGCAGAGGGGGTGGGGGAGATGATGATTTCCCAAATACAAATTGGCCTTAATTAACTATTAAACAAATTGTTGGATTTTTAGATTCTGTGCTTTACCTTCATGTGTATACTCAGTTGCCACCATTCATTCTAAGATCAATCCCGACAAATTGGATAAGGTGGTTCCTGGTTTGTCTGCTCCGTTTTTTTTTTATTTCATATTTGTATTAAACTTTTGTGCTAGAAAATAAACATTGACACAAGCTGCATTCTTTCACTCAAATATTTTTTTTTTATGACCTTTCGGATTTATTTTTATTTTTCGACAGATATTCATTTTTAATGGAGTTCATCATGTTCATGTTGTGTAGTTTTACTATGTTCATGTTGTGTAGTTAAACCATGTTCATGTTCATGTTGTGAAGTTAGACCATAAATTTAAGAATTCAACAAAATGAACAATTTGTAAATAATTTAATTCACAGTAATTAATTTTTTTACATTTTTTGTTCCTGGAAAAACAATAATAAAGTCTCATCAGAGTTGTTTTTTTACAGCCATTACATGTTTTATCAAAATTATTGCTTTGGTTGTTAATCATTTCTTATATATTTTGCAAAGGTCATTTACCAAATTTCAAGGAACTAGTCTTGGATGATCACAACTTTGAACCCTGCTTGCTTAATCTGAAATTTGTCAGAAAGTCATTTGAGGGGCTTTTATTATAATCTGGTATTTATTTTAAAGATTTGACCATTTTTTGTTTAGACAAGAAAAAGTTTGTTGTTCTTGCAGCTTAATGTTATGATATCGTTGATTTTCTTCTTTAAAAAACTTCGACATTTTTTAATTGTGTTCATTTTTTTTTTAATTCACTTTTTCTTTAAATCTGCAGTCTATCATTCATGGTTGTCCAAATTCATTAAATAACTTGCATAATATTCGTTGGTCAGGACAATTTTCTTTCAAAGAATTTGCAGCATGACGACATTTTTTTCTGCTAAATGAAATTCCAGTGTATTAGTCCAGAGAGAATATATATATATATATATATTTATTTAAATTTCAGTCTGACAGGTAAAAACACAAAATGATTAAATAAATTATAAGTCTACTTGATTTCCAAATTTTAGTCCATTGTTTTATCTAGGCCTAAAAATTGTTTTTTCTGTAACCCCATCAACCCAAACTTTTAGTGTCTACACTAAAGATTTTCTTGTCATTTTGAACAAAAACTACAAAAGTCAGACTGATAACCCTATTGTAAAAAAAAAAAAGAGGAATGACTTTGTATCCAGCAGTGTTTTGGATGCCAATTGTTGATACATTATATTGGCAATGGTAGCATTTCATCATATTGTATGTTGTAATAAAACAAAAAGACCGGTGTCAACATTATAATGAATGTGTTGTATTCTGCGTAATAAAACTACAAAAGTCAGACTGATAACCCTATTGTAAAAAAAAAAAAGAGGAATGACCTTGTATCCAGCAGTGTTTTGGATGCCAATTGTTGATACATTATATTGGCAATGGTAGCATTTCATCATATTGTATGTTGTAATAAAACAAAAAGACCGGTGTCAACATTATAATGAATGTGTTGTATTCTGCGTAATAAAATTTTGATCCTTTATAATTTTCGTTATTTTGCCATTGAAATCATTATTTATATAAACTTAATCCTTCCTATATATAAATCCATATCATTATATATGATTGTTAAGGATATTTTCATAGATTGCAGGTTTCAGGTAAAACAAACTTGTACAGTGGAATCATAACCTTCATAATTAACTGACAAACTGATACAATTGTTAAATATTCATGCAAAATCAGCTGATTAACTGGTACAATGGTAAAATAACTATGTAAAATCAACCAACGGAACCAGTACAATGGTAAAGAAATTATGCAAAGCCAACCAATAAAATGGACAATTGTTAAAACATCTATGGAAAATAAACTGATAAACCAGTCCAATGGTAAAATAACTGCAAAGTAAACCAAAAAACAAGTGCAGTGGTAAAAAAACTTTGCAAAGTCAACCAACAAACCGGTACAATGGTAGAATAACAGGAAAATCAACCAAGAGACAGGTGCTATGGTAGAATAACATGAAAATTGACAAGCAAACCGTTACAATGGTAAAATGACAGCAATATCAACCAACAAACCAGTACAATGGTAGAATAACAGGAAAATCAACCAAGAGACAGGTCCTATAGTAGAATAACATGAAAATCGACAAGCAAACCGGTACAGTGGTAAAATGACAGGAAAATCAACCAACAAAACGATATAATCTAAAATGACAGGAAAATCAAATCACATAAAAATGGTACAATGGTCAAAATGACAGCAAATTCAACCAATAAACCGGTACAATGGTAAAATGACAAACATCCAACAAAATGATTCAATGGTTAAATGACTGTAAAATCAACTAACAAACTGGTACAGTGTAAAATGACTGAAAAATCAACCAACAAACCGGCACAATGGTTAAACGAGAGCAAAATCAACCCAAAAACCGGTAAAATGGCAGAAAATCAACCAACAAAATGGTACAATGGTAAAATGACTGCAATATCAACTGACAAACCGGTACAATGGTAAAATGACTACGAAATTAACTGACAAACCGGAATAATGGTAAAATGACTGCAATATCAACTAACAAACGGTTACAATGGTAAAATGACTAATCAACTGACACATTGGAACAATGCTTAATACATGACTGCAAAATCGATCAATTTAAAATTTACAGCCAAAATCGAATTAGACAACATGAACCATGATTATGAACTCCGGTGCTCTGAAAGGGTTAGTTGTTCTGCTTGATACGTTAAGGTTCATGTGGACCCTTTGGCTAAAATGGCTGCGTTTTCACCTCGAAATTTACTTTGAGTACAGACAAACCTGTACATCTGGAAACGTTTTAAGGCATAGCATGCCCTAGATAGATAAAATTTAAATACATTGTATGTTTTAGAAAATTTAAAACTTAACTGGATTTTGCAGTGCACTTTTTTTCGTCCCTGCAGAAGATGATAAAATTAACAAACAGTTAAAGTTTCACTTGATATGGTCCACTCAGGTACACAGTTTAAATCACCGATTATTGTCAGGTATCTATTGTCCATGTCAATCAATAAAGTTCACTTCAATTATTACCTGTGGGGAAGTTTTCAAACCTCTTTCCCAACTTAGTTTATTTTGACACCTTCTGGAAGAATGAAAAAAAGTGCACTGCAAAATCCTGTTAAGTTTTTAATTTTCTAAAACATAAAATACATTTGAATTTTATTTATCTAGGGCATGCTATGCCTTAAAACTTTTACAGATACACGGGTTTGTCTGTACTCAGAGTAAATTTTGAGGTGAAAATGCAGCCATTTTAGCCAAAGGGTCCACATGAACCTTAAAGAGGTCCCCTGCTTGAAAAGTTTACTATAATAGACCATTTTCACTTTTCTTGAAGCCCTACTTGAGTGTTGTTCCTTTTGCACTATCGTATGTATTTGCATACCTTTATCTGTTCCATGTCGTGAACAACAGCCGATCCCTTCTATTTTGAGGGGAACGATTATAAGCGCTCGCCGAGTGTATCTAAACCGCATAAAAAGTTTCATTAGCATATCGATTTAAATGTGAGTAACAGATTTCAGTACTCAGTTAATGAGTGCCTTTCCAGTATATAATTGATGAGTGAAAGGACGGTGGATGTATTCTGGGTAGCAGATCAAGAACATTGTAAATGTTTTTACACGTAACACAAACCATGCTGTGACTAACGTCTGAGTTCAATTGTAGGTGTTGAAAAATCAAATAGCAAAAATACCTTACTCCAAGGAAAATTCAAATAGGAAAGTCCCTTATAATATGGCAAAATCAAAAGCTCGAACAGTCATATTCCAGACTTGGTTCAGGCATTTCCTTATGTAGAAGTGATGGATTAAACCTGGTTTTAGTATAGCTAGCTAAACCTCTCACTTGTTAAGTCCAACAAATGTAGGTTATTTTTAACTATATTTCAAATTTTCTTTGAAATATTAGAGAGGAAGGGCCAATTTCCCGTGGATTTATTAAACCAGAGAATACATCGTATTATATGTCTGGTCAAACATTTTTGTATTCTATTATTTGTAGGTCATTTTTCTCTATTCTCTATATATACTTTTAGCCAATTGTTCTCTATTCTTTATATTTTAGCTCCCCATTAAACTCCATTCTTTATATTTTTGGTCCTTTTTTCTCTATTCTTTATATTTTTTACCCATTATTCTCTATTCTGTAAACCCCCATCAACACCCTCATAAGAACCTTTTCTAAAGGTCTTTCAGTCGTAATGAAAAATATATTTATAGAACTATAGTATTCCTGAAATTTTCAGACGCATCAGACAACCCGTTGTTGGGTTGCTGCCCCTGAATTGATAATATTAGGGACATTTTGCAGTTTTTATACGACCGCAAACGTATATTGTTATGGCGTTGTCGTCGTCGTCCGAAGACACATTGGTTTTCGCACAATAACAATAAGGTTGGGATTGATTTTGGGGGTTATGGTACCAACAGTTAAGAAATTAGGGGCCAAAAATAAGCATTTTTGTAACTTCCAGACAATAACTTGTGTGTTAGTGTATGGATCTCTCTGACATTGTACCACAAGGTTCCATATCACAAAGGGAATGATGGGATTAATTTAGGGGGTAATTGCCTCAAAATTTTAGGAATGAGGGGGAAAAAAAACAAGCATTTTTCTAGTTTCCAGACAATAACTTGTGTTCAAGTGTATGCATAGGCGGATCCAGGGGGAGCCCTGGGGCCTGGGCCCCCCTTTCGTGGGAAAAATTTGGTTGATTATATAGGGAATCACTGAAGCATGACTGGAGCGGGCCCCCCTTAGGTCAGTCAGCAGGCCCCCCTTATGAAAAGTTCTGGATCCGCCACTTGTATGGATCTCTCTGAAAGTGTACTGCAAGGTACAATACCACAAAGGGAAGGCTGGGATTGAGTTTGGGGGTGATGAATTATAAGGGGGTTCAAAAATTTGGGGGGGGGGTTTCTTTTTTAAGACTTTTATGATGTATTTAAATTGGTAATTATGGTTGCAAACTCCATTGGAAATTTGAACATCATAGTGTTTTTCACAAAAGCAAAAATAAAAGGGGGGTATTTTTTTTTTTTGGAGGGGGGGGGGGTCAATTTCGCAACAGCATAGTGTATTGCACAAAAGCAAAAAATTGAATATAAATTCAAATCATATAACCAATTCTTAGTTCTTTGACTACAGTTATTCGGTGTCAAATATTTAATTACAATCCAAATTCAGACCGGTATCAAGCGCAAATATTGTGTCCATTTTTGCCCCAACTGTTCAGGGTTGGACCTCTGCGGTCGTATCCAGCTGCGCTCAGCGAAGCATTTTATTGGTTATTATCTTGAATATTATAATAGATAGAGATAAACTGTAAACAGCAAAACTGTTCAGCAAAGTAAGATATACAAATAAGTCAAACATTACCAAAATTGTCAATTGACCTCTTAAGGAGTTATTGCCCTTAAAAGTCAATTTTTCAGAATTTTTTTAATCTTTTAGAAATATATTCTCTTCTGCAACTACTTGGCCAAATTAAACCAAACTTGGCCTAAATCATCCTTAAGGTATCTAGTTTTAAAATGTATCCGATGACCCTGCCCATCAACCAAGATGGCCGCCATGGCTAAAAATAGAACATGGGTGTAAAATGCAGTTTTGGGCTAATATCTCTGAAACTAAAGCATTAAGAGCAAATCTGACGGGTTAAAATGTTCATTAGGTTAATATCTATCTGCCCTGAAATTTTCAGACAAATCAGACAACCCGTTGCTGGGTTGCTTCCCCTGAATTGGTAATTTTAAGGAAATTTTGCAGGTTTTGGTTATTATCTTAAATATTATTAGGGCCCCGCCGAATGGCGGACGCCCTATAGTGATCAGTCTGTCCGTCCGTCCGTAACAAATCGTGTCCGCTCTATATCTAGAGAACCGTTATGATTCCAAAGTTTATACTTCACATGTATATTAACCAACACCAGAGGGTGTGTCATAATGTATGTACAACTTCCTAGGTCAAAGGTCAAGGTCAAAAACTGGTTTTAGTTGACAACCCCATGTCCTATGGTAAAGATCGTTTCCGCTCTATATCTTGAGAACCGTTATGATTTCAAAGTTTATACTTGATATGTGTATTAACTAACACCAGAGGG